TTGTTTCCAAATGGGGAAGACAATTCTGCAAGAATGAAATTATAACCATCTTCCACTATTATGTCATCTCACCCTTTGGAAAATAGAATAGTTGTACCTAAAAGACGACCTCCTTGGAAGACAAAAAAAAAAAGGCATTGGTACAGCCTAGGGGAGCTAGAGGCTGGAGGTAAGTATAGTTACCTGCCAAAGCCCAGTTGACCAAGAATGATCCCCTCAAATGTGACCAAATTACATAACTGAAAGTGTTAAGGTCTAAGGATTTTCTCTGTTGGCCAGTGGCCTAACAAGACAGTGTCAGTCCCACCTCTCCCTGCCATCAAGAGCTACTGAGTCATCCTTCAGGCTTCCAGGGTGAAGCTACTGTGTTTATAGTCCAGATCCCCAGGGCCAAGGGGAGTGACTGCTCTCCCACGGCTTACCCCGGGCTCCCTCTCCACCTCCTCCCCGCGCTGCAGTGCCACGTTCCCTCAGTCCTCGGACACTTACCGAGGGCGCCCTGGGCAGTCTGGTGTCGTGTGAGTAGCACAGGCTACAGATTCTGATGGGGAATCCTCCGAGCTATGTGACTCTGGGCAAATGACTTAATTTCTTTGACACTCAGTTCCTTCATCTGTAAACCCAGATGAAAAATACGCACTTTGGATGAAGATTAAATGAGATAACGTATACAAAGTACCTAGAAAGGCCCGGCGCTGAGCAGGCTCTCAGCACTTATCAGTTTTCCTCCCATTAGTCTGCCACCCGCTTTGTCAAGCTGTCATTCTCCCTTCTCACCCAGAACTGACAACGCGCTGAAAGGACGCATGGTGACAGGTGTCCATATGAGCATGACATGGGGTGGCAAGTATCCACAGGTATGGAGAAAGAGAAAAAGGAACATTGGGGAGAGAGATTTAATTCTTCTGAGGTCAGGGCAAGTTTTATAGAAGTTGTAATATTTGGCTTAACTTTGGAAGGTGACTGTGTTTCCAAGTGGGACAGTCCCAGGAAGCAGGAGGAGGGAGCATTTAAGTGACATAGAGAAGGGAATGAAGCCAATAATGGGTATATTAATGAGCAGGTGATTATTATAGGCAACTGAGGCACAATCCAACTGGGGAACTCTGGGAACGATGTAGAACACACCTTGGCATTGTCCCACCAAGGGACAAGGAAGCTTAAACCCTAACTCCCACCCTTCACTGTTTTGGGGTGTTAACTCCCTAGCACTTCTGGCATGTCCTGTGCACAGGAACTATGTGCAGGTGACCTGTGCGGTGGGCCAAGGGGATATGATATGGGCAGGGCACCAATACCATCTGCTGCAGGTGGCTTAGCATGTAACTAGATTAATCCACAGAGCTGGCCAAGGGCTACACGTGAGAGCCCTATAGCACTGACGCACACTTTAGGACTCAGTTACAGCTTATATTGTTCTCATGTGTCACAGTCATGTCTCTCCAACTGGAGTTAGAGACGATGTTCTCTCAGCAGCCAGTGCCATTGGGCACACAGCAGGCGCTCATTACCACACGACTGACAACCAAATGTAGAAGTGCAAGTCAGTCCCTTTGGTCTTCATCAAAGACCAGACCCAAGCCATCCAGAACAACAAAGAACCTGCCTCAGTGCAAAGCTGTTCAGGAAGACGGTGCCTATGAACCACCTGGGTGATCCCGAACAATATTCAGTGACGCTTACAATTATGGATTCCACCTTCATTTTTAATCCACAGATTCGCAACAAGCAAGCAACTGAGCCCAGCGTAGCAGAGAGGCTGAGAACGCCGAAAGGCAGTGTACAGAGGTTAAAGATACAAACTTTGAAGCCAGATGGCCTGAGTTTGACTTGCAACTCTGTTGCCTCTTAACTGTTTGACCTACAGCAAGTTGCTTACCTCCTCTGTGCCTCAGTTTCCTCATCTGTAAAATGAGCTAATAATAGTGTCAATTTCAAAGGGTTATCAAGTGAACTTTAAATGAGGTTGGCTTCTGTAAGGGCTTAGAACAGTGGCTGGCACATGGTGAGTGCTACCAAAGTGATTATTATTGGAAGTTCTGAGAGACAGGTGACGCCGATGCTACTTGTCTGGGGCCACATTCTGAGAAACACTGCTTTAAGAAATCAATTCATCAGAACTCTGGAGCAAGGAATACATTCAGCTGCCTTAAGTGATCACTCAGCTTTTCTCCTATCCTGGTTTAGTTCTGAGCCATGCACTTTCCTATTTACCTGTCCCTGTTTTCATCATTTTAAAAAATATTTTCCCAAAAGGACATTTCTAATGAACAGCTTTCACTTTGATGAATTTTTTCCCTTTGTGTTCCACTTTCCTGCCTCCTCTACCCTGTGATGGAAAAAGCACCGAAACGTGAGACTGAAGATCTAGCATCTAGTCTGGGCTCCGCCACTTCCTAACCAATAATGTCCCTGGGGACATTTACTCATCAGTGAAGTGGGGACATTTGATTTTTGCCTTGCCAATCCCACAGTGATGTCTTAATGCCCTAAGGAGATGATGTGTGTGAGCATAGTTTATACAAACATCACATGGCCACAACAACAGAATTTGTATCCCATGATATATATCAGGAGGAGTTTTCTCTCCTTTTCTCCTTGTTTGTGTCTTCCAACACTTGTGCACGCAGTGGTTCTCACTCAGAGTGTAGTCCCTACACCAGTTGCACCAGCATCACCTGGGAGCTTGCTAGAGATGTCAGTTCCCAGCTCCCACTCCAGACATACCAAATCACAAACTCAGGGGGAAGGGCCCGGCAATCGGTCCCTCGACAAGCCTTCCAGGGCATTCTGAACACTCAAATTTGAGAACCCGGGTTTCATGGTTACAAGCACAAACTCTAGAGACAGATCCCTGAGTTCAAATTCCAGCTCTGCCACTTGCTAGGTGCTAGCAACTTTGGACAAGTTACTTATCTCTCTGAGCCTCAGCTTCTTGGTCTGGAAAATGGGGCTAAGACCAAGACCTTTCCTTCTTAGATTTGATGGAGAAGATTAAGAGAGTGAATGCATGCAAAGCATGTAGGAACCTGGCACTTTGTAAGCCATCAGCACACATTTAGTTCTCACCATTTCTTTTTTGAAAGTATGGCGGCTTCTTGACAACATGCCCCAGTGCCTATGTTTCGAAGGATTGTCAATTGTGTGTTAGCTTATTGGGGAGTTTTCCATTTAGTCTGTGTGTGTGGATGTGAATTTGCATGTGTGTTCTGTTTGTTTGCTTATGTTGTTGTTCTTTGCTGCTGGTAGATTTTTGTTTTATCTAATAAAGAGTCCTTTATCCTGCCACCATCTTTTGAATATGGAAGGTGGGTCCTTAATACCTCTTTTTAAATAACATTCATTTTCTAGTCTCATCTGTAATGAGGATTGTTTACATTTGCTTCTGGCAGTTGTGCCCACAGAAATTAGAGCCACAGTATTGCCGGCCTTTTACTGCCTTCCTCAGGAACCTTTTCTCCTTGTTTCATAAGCTTTGAATGACCCCCTTTTCTGAAAACACCAGATTCCTTCATTTGGCTGATTCTCCACCGCCTTTAAATTTCTATATGGTATTGCCCTCAAGCAGATACTTTTAAAAACAAACACACACCAGAAATAAGCCCTCACCTATACGGTCATATGATTTTTGACAAAGGTGTTTAGACCATTTAATGGGGAAAGAACAGTCTTTTCAACAAATGGTGTCAGGTAAACTGGCTATTCACATGCACGAGAATGAAGTTGGATCCTCACCTTACACCATATACAAAAATCAACTCTAAGTGGATCAAAGAACCTAAACATAAGACCTAAAAACTATAAAACTCTTAGAAGAAAACAGGGGAAAGTTTTCGTGACGTTGGATTTGGCTATGTTTTCATGGCTGTAACACCAAAGCACAGACAACAAAAGTAAAAATAGATAAATCGGACTTCATCAAAATTTTAAAATTCTATAGATAAAATGACACTATTAGAGAGTGAAAAAACACCCCACGGAATGTAAGAAAATGTTTGTAAATTATGTATCTGATAAGGGATTAATATTCAGAGCATATAAAGAACTCCAAAACTCAACAAAAAAGCAGACAGCCCAATTTAAAAATAGGCAAAGGACTTCAATAGACATTTCTCCAAAGAAGATATACAAATGACAAATAAGCACACACAAAGATGCTCAATATCATTAATCATTAAGGAAATGCAAATCAAAACCACAATGAGATACCACTTCATACCTGTTATCAGAACAACAGAAAATAGCAAGTGTTGTCAAGGACATGGAGAAACTGGAATCCTTGTGCCTTGCTTGTAGGAATGTAAAATGGTGCAGCCACTGTGGAAAACAGTTTGGCAGTTCCCCAAGATGTTAAACACGGAGTTATCATATGATCCACCAATTCTACTCCTGAGTATATAACTCAAAAAATTGAAAGCAGTGACTCAAACAGATACCTGTATTCTGATATTCATAGCAGCATGATTCACAATAGCCAAAAGGTAAAAACGACCTAAATATCCATCAATGCATGAATGGATACATAAAACATTGTCTATATACAGTGGAGTATTAGCCTTAAAAAGGAATGCAATTCTGACGCATGCTACAGTATGGATAAACCTTGAAAACCTTACAATAAGTGAAGTGAGCTAGACACAAAAGAACAAATATTGTATGATTCCACTTATATGAGGTACCAGGCATAGGCAAATACACAGAGACAAAAAGAATAAAGGTTATTGGGAAGAGGAGGAAAAAAGGAAATGAGGAGTTATTGTTTAATGAGTACAAAGTTTCTATTTAGGATGCTGACAACATTCTGGAAATGGATGGTGGTGATGGTTGCACAAAATTGTGAACATACTTAATACCAAATAACTGTCTACTTAAAGATGGTTAAAATGGTAAATATTATATTATATATATTTTACCACAGTAAAAAAAATCCTAAATAACAAAACACACACACATATAAACAGATAAAGAGAAAAAAAAAAGAAGGAAAACAGGTACCTTACCTTCCAGGGATGTAACCAGAACAACATGAAGACAAATGATGATGAGAAATATCTTGAAGGTCAGTAAAACTTCTTCAGGTCTGCCAACATGGCCACACTGCCTGCCAGAGAAAACCATCCTGGAATAAAATAACAGGAAAACAGATCATCACAGCCGCCATGCAACACAGAAATGCCCAAAAGGTCATTCTTCAACCGAGGCAACCTGCAATCCTGCTTCCTTTAAATTACTGTGGTTCCAGAGACTCAGCGATGCCAGCTGGGCACTGGCTGCAAAAAGCAAAACCCATGTTTATTATGGGAGGGTCACCCGGCAAGATATTATAATCAAATGATAAGCAAAGTAGGCCGGGCGCGGTGGCTCACGCCTGTAATCCTAGCACTCTGGGAGGCCGAGGCGGGCGGATTGCTAGAGGTCAGGAGTTCGAAACCAGCCTGAGCAAGAGCGAGACCCCCGTCTCTACTATAAATAGAAAGAAATTAATTGGCCTAATTAATTATATTAATTGGACTAATATATATATATATATATAAAATTAGCCGGGCATGGTGGCGCATGCCTGTAGTCCCAGCTACTCGGGAGGCTGAGGCAGCAGGATTGCTTGAGCCCAGGAGTTTGAGGTTGCTGTGAGCTAGGCTGACGCCACAGCACTCACTCTAGCCTGGGCAACAAAGCAAGACTCTGTCTCAAAAAAAAAAAATGATAAGCAAAGTAGTCCATGTGCATTTATGGAAAACATCGACACATGTAAAATATCAAGAGAAGAAATTAAAAAGGCAAAAGGTTACATACATAATTATGACCACCATATAAACTGATTAAAGACTATGCTAAGAATCAGAAAGGTCATAGGGTCTTTTAAACAATCTATTCCTATTTATGTTTTTTTCTCTTTTAAACTTTTTTTTTAAGAGATGCGAGTCTCGCTCTGTTGCCCAACCTGGAGTGCAATGGCTATTCACAGGTGTCAAAATAGCTCACTGCAGCCTCAAACTCCTGGCCTCAAGTGATCCTCCCACCTCAGTCTCCCAAGTAGCTAAGACTAAAGGTGTGCATCACCGTGCCCAGCTCCTATTTACGTTTTATACTATAAAAGGATAAGTATATTGCATTTCCTCTTACTTGCATATTATTTTATCATCATTGCTTGCATTTTAGTAGTCAAGAAGATAAAGAGTCAACATTTTTTAAAAAGCAAAGCTTTATATCAGAACTGAATTTAAAAGCCACACTTATCATTCATTTATTTATTCATTCAACAAATATTTACTGAGGGCCAATATGTATGAGATGAGATGTGCAGGCTGGACAGGAGTTAAGTAGATGAGATACGTGTGGTGGAGGTGGGCAGGCACTGGGGAGAGCTCAGCAGACAGAGAGAACTGCAAATGCTAAGACTGTGTCTGATCTTCTCGAGGCCAGGAGTTGGCCAACATAACCCCATGACGGACTGTCAGCACTAGGAGTGGAGGCCAAGGGGATGCATGAATCCAGCCACCACTGCAGTCTCTGCAAGCCCGAGATAGAGTGTGCACACACAGTGGTGAAGACTAAAGAGCCTGAGTTCAAAGGTCTCAGCTCTGTCATGTAATGTCTGAGTGACTTTGGACAAGGTATTTTCAATGGTCAAGTTTCCCCATCTGGCAAATTGTGATAACGGCGCCAACCCGATAGTGCTGTTATAGTGAGTAAACAAGAGATCTCTGCACAGTGGCTGGCACTGTGAATACACTTCAAGTATTAGCTGTACTCTTCATTCATTCATTCAACAGATATCTATCTTGTACCTAGAATGTGCATGGTCAGGTTGTACAGGGATTGAGGGTTTGATGGCATGGGAAAAAATGAGATAAATAAACCACAATTTGCTCAATTTGCTCTCAAGGTAAAGCTGGCAATCTTTAAGAATCCTGTAATCTAATAGCCAGCAATCTAATAACCAGTACCAGGAGAGCAATTCTTTCCTTGACATGGTGCAGTAATGTCTTAGACCAGGAAGTAAATCCTCCTTCAAGAGAGCTTATATATTTTACAGTAATAAATTGCATTGTATGTTAATAATATAATGTTAATAAATTATAAAAAGCCTGATTTGTCCCTCTTCTGCAGCACTTTTATACTCTCTCTGTTCATAATGGCATATTATTGATCTTCTCAAATGAGTCACTCAAATGGGAATGTTAATATAGTTGTGCAAAGATGTATCATCAATGTCTCCCTAGAGGAAAAATTTAAGTGTCTGCTACAGCCATACACAGCAATATCGATGAATCTCAGAAATATAATGCTAGCCAAGGAAACCAGACATAATGGAATGCATATTATACACGATTCCATTCTTATGAGAAACAAAAGCAGGCAAAACTAATCAATGGAGTGAGAAATCAGGAGAGTGGTTATCTTTGCAAGGGAGGAAGTTACAATAATATCAGAAATGGGCACAAGAGACCGTCTGAGGTACAGGTAATATTCTGTGTCAGTTACATGGGTGTGTTCAGTTTGTAAAATTCATTGAGTTGTACGCTTATATGTATGTCATAAGAAGTTTCAATAAAGTTTAAAAATTAATATATTTTTTAAGTTTCTGTTCTCCCTCCAAAAGCACTGCTCTTAAAAAAAAAGCCATTATTTAGTGAACTAAGGCTCTACAAAAAACTCTCTCCTTTATAAATGCCTTAAACTTGACTCTTCCTGGAATTAGTAGAGTTGACTTAAATGATTTAATGCACAAATATCTAAGTTGAGCTCTGGGAAGAATATTAGAGCAGTTTATTTCTAGAAAGGAACTAGGATATTACCTAACCTCAAACCTACATTGTACAGATAAAGAAAGAGGCCCAGCATGCTCTAGGGGATGGGTCATGGTCATTTGACTACTCAGCAGACCCCCTACTCTTTCTACAAGGTCACAAGGCCACCCTTCTGAGAATTTGTCTTTGTAAGTAAAATGTTTTGAGTTCAGCAAGTGAGAGAAACCAAGAAATTCAAAATGCTATCATATAATTTCCAAATTTCTGCAAACCCATTCTAAAGCTTTGCCAACTCATAGAGCAGGACTTACATGGTGTACAAGATATGGTCAAAGTTCAATTAGTATGCACAGAATACATGGTGACTGATTATTATGTGCTGTGACTTGGGCCTCTGATCAAAATAAGCTGTGCCTTTTCACTGAAGAGAACATGTACTTGACTCCCAGATGAGGGTAGGAGAGGCCAGAATGAAGGATAATTCCAGCAGTCATCTTGAAAAAAGAACTGGAATCAAGAACTTACTACAGATTGGCACCACTGAAAAAGTATGCTTTCAGTTGTCAAGACTGGAAGATGTTTTTTCAAGGCAGAACATATATTTGCTAATAGTAGAAGTCCTACAGTATTTGAAATAATGGAGCTCCTATTGCATTCTGCATCAACTGAGAATGGCCTGTTAGATCATAAGGTCTCTAGGATTACTGATCTAGATTTCCAAAGAGGGAAATCTGTGGATTTTGAAACCTTTCCTCATTGTACATAAAAGCCATTTTTCTCTTTTTCACCTGGAACATTTCAACATTTCTTAATCTTTTAGAGCACTCCAGGTTAGCTTAATGCTATCTAGGTCATCAACAAAAATGATTTGAATAGCCACTGGTTCTTAGCAAATTTTTAAGGTGCTAAGGATAGTATCAATTACAGAGAAAACTATTTGCTAGCATTTAAACAGTAAAATCTAGACACTAGGTAGCCACTCATTAAAGATTATCTCAAATTCATCTTAGTCCAGGGCCCCCTTTTAGGTTGTGGACTCTGGTATAAATAGCAACCTCTCAGGTTGAACAGCGCACAACCTACATGACTGTATACCAGTGTGCTCCAAAAAATTGTTCTAGAGTTCTTCAATTTCATTAAATAGTATCACTATCATATTTTTTTAAATATGTAAAATAGTACATTTATCATAATGGCAATAAATGATAAATCTATCTTTATCTAGATATAGAATAGTTAAAGAATAAGATTTAAAAGGGGAAATAGCTTGATACCACTATAGGGCAGGTCTGGGTGAAGAGTTTTTCTGTTATTCTCTGTTATCTCTGGTAAACTGGCATAATTTAATTATACCCTAGCTGCTATGACATATGCAATAATCAATATTTTTGACCTGAGTAACATGAAGTATGATAATTGTCCCCTAAGTCTTCTAGAAACTCTATGCCTTTGAGATATTTATGTTGAGTCATATGTGTTGGCTAACAAGACTACAAGAAGGGGAAATTAAAAAGAGAGGTAGTGAAGAGGTTCTCAGTGTGGATAAAGCAAGGACAAAAAGTGAAAAAAGCAATTGATTTTAATTGTTTGTCAGTGAACAAATCCCTAGAAAAAAATACAACCTACCAAGAAGGAATCAGGAAGAAATAGTAAATGTGAATAGGACATATAACCATCAAAAGTCTCAAAAATTTTCCCACAGAGAAAGCTCCAGGCTCAGATAGTTTCACCGCCGATTCTATCAAATATTTAAGGAACAAGAATCCCAATCTCCTAAAAATTCAAAGAAAAGAAAAAGAGAGCACGTCCTAACTCATTTTTACAAGGCTATCATAACTCTGATGCCAAAATTTGACAAGGAAAGCCCTTACATTTTTACCCATTAAATAAATCAAAGGAGGCTATTTACAAATTTCTCCAGAATGCTCACAGAAACGTCTAGCAGCAATTTCAAATCTTGTAAATTGAGGTAATTTGAATAAATATAGGACAAAAGGAACCATTCTGAACTGCAGCAACAAAATTTTTGGAAGATAAGGTCATCAAGAACCAAAGCCAGCATTGCTGTAGTAAGAGAGACAACATCTCATATGCCAAAAAAACCCATGTCCTGAATATGACAGACACTGGGTTGACTGGTAAGTGCTGAATATGAACTTGAAAACAGCAACTCTGTTGTGTTATTTGTCAGAGCACAAAGTCAAGTCGATGCTGGACCATGTGGCATGACTGCAACGGGAAGCTTTCACATCTCTAGAATCAAATGGAAGGAAATGATTTATTTGGTCTTTACAGTGCAAAATGATTTTCTTAATAAGCATTAAGTGCTTTCTAATGCAGAAAAAAAGAAGCCTTAGAGTAAATCCGTATCAGATGTGCAAGATTAGAAATAAATTATACACTTTAAGTAAACATAGACTCACAAAACCTTGTGAGAGGTGTTTTATTTTTTGGCTCTCTCATTCATCTCCAAATTTCTCCATTCTCCTACTTGCAATCTACCATACTCTTGATGGCTCATGTGTGAATTAACCAAGGCAAGGGGAAAGCCTCACTCTTCAGAGTCTGCCGCCGGTGCTCACAGAAATTATGTTCAACACACACGAAGGAACAGAATAGCAAGGGATTCAGAAGCATGCGTGGTACAGCCATCTGCCTGCCTTCAAATCTAAGCTCCACCACCTGCAGTGTAACCTTGGACTGTTCTAAGGAACCTCTCTGGACCTTAAATATTCTTCATCTAAAAAAATGTAGGTAATGATAAGACCTACTTCATAGGGTTCTGGAGGGATCAAATGATATAATGAAAGTCTTGGTATAGTCAAGAAGTGTTAGCTATTATTACAAGCATAATTAGAAGACAAGTTTACAGTAGACTCCAATGCTAAACATAAACAGATTTCAGAATTATTCCCTGCATTCATTCATCTTGTTTAAAAATATTTACAGAGGTTCTACTACATGCAAGGAACTATGCTAGGGACCCGAGATAATGCAATAAACAAGACAGATAATCCTTCCAGCCCTCAAGAGCTTATAGTCACTACTTAGATTCATTGGTCATTGGTATGGCCAAATAAATAGTGATTTTTTTAAAAAACCAAACAAACTTAAAAGTCACTTTCTCTTCATGATCCATGAGACTCAACTTGGCCTAAAAACCAAAACAAGGCACCGGAACACAGTTGGCCTCTCCTATATAGGCTTGGTCTCCACCCCCACCCCCCATCCCCACAGCAGGCACTCAACAAAGATTTTTTTAATTGATTTTGTCCAGAATCTGTTGCTACAAAATAATTTTATTAGTATGTAGAGGAGAGAAATAGGAGATACTTCTTATGGGGCAGGGATGGGCAGAGGCATATGGTTTGTATCATTCAGGAGATCACACTGGAGACACAGTGAAGTGTTCTGGAATGCCAACCGCCCCCCACCAATATTCTGTGCCCTTCTTTGCTTTTGTCGCCGCACCATGCCCATTCCTGCTTCAAGTCCCAGCTTGGCCAACTGCTAGCTGTGTGAACCTGCTCAGGTGCTTTAACCTCATTTATAACAATGACTTACTAGTATCTATTAGAATAGCTATGTGTGTTATTTATCCTAGAAATTACAATAGGATAATTCTAATTTACATTAATGATAATAAACATTTGCAGTGTTTACAAGATTTTGATAATTTATATCAACGAAATTCCAGAAATAACCACTATTTCTGAGGCTCAAAAGACATAGAAAGCATGGCTTCAGAATTTCTATGCAGACGGAGGTGTGAGCAGAAATCTGGTTGGGAGGAGCCTTTGAAAGCTACGTGTGCACAGCACTTAGGTCTGTTTCTAAATAAGACGAGAGCTGTTGCAGCCAGGCAAGCAAGTCCAGGAAGCAGGAAAATGGAAAACAGTGGAAGAAAACCCAAAGAATTCCACATAAGTGATCATCCTCCTTCCCCAGCTGTCCCTGCACCCCCTAACTTCAAAACCTACACCCACTTCTGAAGTCTATTCGAATGCAAAGAAGAATGAGTCAACAATAGAATCTTCGAGGAAAAGAAAATGTCTGAAGAAGAGAGCTTCCAGTGGGAGTGAGGAGTTAAAAACAAAACAAATGAACAAACAAAAAAGAATAAAGTTGTTCTGTGGATAGGAATTTGGAATGAAGGGAGGGAAATAGGAAAGAAAAAAACTCAGCCCAACATGTTCATTTCTACGACATTATCACATGAAAATAGTCTCACGCACCTGATGGGAGGTTCACAAAAAAGGGTGGAGAAACTCCGCACACATCTGAAAATGAAAAAAAGTAAAGAAAATTAGAACAACGGGAAGTGAGTGTTCTTGGCAGCATCATGTTCCAATGCTGCAGTCAACCCATCAGCTGGGGCCCTAGGAAGCCCCCGCTGCATGTCACAGCTTGAACTTGGCAGTGGTGTTATAAAAGAAATGGAGGAGACAAACCCTGCTCTCAAGGAACTTACATAAGCTAGAAGAACAAGCCCAAAGCCAGTTTGGGGGCTGACCTTATTGATGTTTTAGTAGCATGCATTACTGCTCGGTTTAAGGCTCCATTAACAGCATCATAAGAGCACTGGACAATGAAGTGATTGGACCAGATCTGGGCTGGGGTGGCCCCTTCTAGAGACTCTACTTGGTTCAGTATTTCTCCATGTGTTTGTGACTTAACTTCCCTAGAACCTAAAACTCCTTGATATCAAGGACTGGGGCATTTATGTCTCCTGTGCCAGGGGCAGAATTCTTTTTCCACCAAAGGGCTGAAAAAATGACTGTCTGCTGATTATTAAGTTTGGCTCAGAGTTGAAAGGAGGAGGAGGAGGTGGGGACATTGGTAACAACATGAGTGCGGGCAAGCCCAGATGCACACTGAGGAAAGGAAATAGGGTGCCCACCCAAGGCAGACAGCATTGCTGACAACCTGACTTGTATCTTTTAGAATATTCCATCATGCTTTACCTAAAAACCAAAACACTGGTACAGTTATTAGCTTGAAGATGATAGTCACTTCATGTAAGGGTATCTTCTCATGTGAGATAGAGTAATAAGAAGAAATAAGGAATCATGGTGAGTTTCTATTGATCACAATATGTTCTTTAAGAGGAAAAATAAAAGGAAATAGTTCTTAATAAATTAAAGCCCAAGATGCTAGAAAACTTCATTAAACAATGTTTAATGAAGACAAAAATGAAGGCCAACCATGTTGTACTGTCCTACGATGAACAAATTGCAAATCCATGTCCCAGTGCTCAACATGGAATGAATGTAGGATTAACAACTGAAAAAACATTTAAATAATCAAAGAAACAAATCAACTGTGACTTGGGTATGGAAAGAATTTCATTTAACATTTGTGAAAATGAAGATTTTTCTACATAGGGATTTCTCATAATATTCTGATGAAATTTCACAACTCAAGCACACTACCTCTTCCAAAACCTTATTGACGACCACAATAAAGCACACTTAAGTGGTTCCTGGTAATCCAGTTTATTAATGAACAACAGGAGGCTCTGTTTGTTCCTTTGGAACACTTTCAGGTAGAAAAGTAGGACAAGCAACAATGACATTCGTTTTTCCCAGTGGATGAAAAAATTAAAAAGCCTAATAATATCCAAAGCTGGAGAACATGTGGGGAAATAAACACTTGCATACACTGTTGGTAGAAATGTAAACTTTGAGAGTAGTTTAGCTATGTTTTGAAATTTTAAATGTGTATATTTTTTGATGCAGACATTTTAATTCCAGAGATTGTCCCTATAGAAATATTGGCACATATACACAAAAATATACACACAAATACTGTCATTGCAGCTTTGTGGGGGGAGAGCCTAAGTATCTATCAGTAAATGAATGGTTAAATACATAATGGCACATCTGTATTATGGAATATTACACAATGCTTCAAAAAATGAAGTTGATTTAGGTGTACTGACATAGAGCTTGTAAATACATATAGATCAAGTGAAAAAAATCAAGTTTCTTAATTATATATATATTTTATACACACACATGCACGCACGTACATGTTAAGAAACAATGAAAACTATATACGTGTATGCTTATTTATATAGTGTCAAGGGTGAGTGCATACAAAAAAGCCCGAAAGGAAACCCACCAAGTCTCCATAAGTAGGAATGTGACGTGGGAAAGGATGAAGCCAAACTGCTACTCCATAGAACACAAACATGTATTCATGCATTACTTATACAATTGCATTTATTTCTTCTAGGGAAGAAAAGCCAGACAGAGGGAGAGCCAGGTAGAGCTCCTCCACCAAGTTCAGGAGAAGGGGAAATGGGAGGCAAAGCCATCCCTTGCTCAGCTGACATCATCTCCCCTCCTGTTCTAACCCCATTTAAAAGGCTTGACTGGGAGCACAGAGACTTCTGGTCTAAGAGCCAAGAAATCAGTGTCCCAGCCAGGGGGCAGGAACTCACTTCAACGACTAGCGGAAAAGAAAGTCAAAAGCAACGATGTGAACATGCCAGAACTGCCCATCTTTCAGCCTCTGCATCCCTCCTTGCCTCTGTTGCCGCCACACACCCGCTAGCCTTCATGTCTTAGAAAAAGCAAATAAGGAATCAGGATCCGATCAGCAATCGGCACCGGAATGTCAGTAACAAAACGTAGTGACTGCCAATGTTTGGGGTTCTTACGTCATTGAAAAGAAAAGGCAAGTCACAAAAGGAACCATATCAACTTATGTAAGACATGGCATGGAACAGAGGAGTTTCTCCGAGGAGAACAGCAAACTCACCAATTGCTAGGATTAACTGAAACCTCCCACAGTTGCAGAATGCCCCAAACCATGACATCAGGGAGGCTGGGAATGCATCCAACTTCCTCTATTTATCAAGCTGGCTAAAACCCAGGGTAATACCAGCGTGACCGAAAAAAAAAAAAAAAAAAGGCAAGCAGACTTTACAAGTGGTTTGGGTGGAAAGGAAACTATCATGTCTGAGTGTACTTAGAGCCCTGCTTCAGGACAAAGGAACTCTCGGGTGTCCAAGAATCAGAGCTCCTATCCTTCGTGGCTGGCCACGGGCCCAGGCATCTTGAGGCTAAGCAGTGACCCAACCAGGCAAAGAGCACAGGTAACAGCAACACCAGGCAATTGTCCCACTGCCCTCGGGGGTAATGTGACATTGGTCCAAGGACTGACCAAAAAACCAAAACCAAACAAAACAGAACTGTGACATGTAGCACCCTGAACAGTCAGCACTTCTTTAAGGACCTAATGATTAATTAGTGCCCAAGACTAAGAGGCAGAGACTGGCTCAAAGTTCCTGGCAATGACACCAACACCATAATAGAAAAGACCAGAGAACAAAGAGGCCTTGATAAATTGGGAATGTGACCAGAAATAAGCAGGGAGAAGTTTCTTCACACTAGCAGGAAAAACAAATTGCACGAACGGAGATGATGGCGAAGGTTATCCCGTGGGCACGTACAGGAGGTCAGAGATATGCAGATTCTTGGCTTAACAGAATGGCAGGTGTTGCCACTGAGAAGCACACAAGAGTGGTTCAAAAACTTGTGGTGGCTCCATAACTGGTGAGACCCTGCCTAACAGGACCCTCACCTGCACAGACTGGTTTGTTCAGTTCTGGCTGCCACCATTGGAGAGGAGTTACATTGTGAGATGGAAAACTCTGAAGATAATTCATCCAACAAGCATTTACTGAATGCTTACTATGTGCCAAAAAACAGGGCCACTCTGTACGGTTGTGCAGGTTGTGCCCTGCACAAGGGCACGTGGCCGAGGGGCCCAGTGGAGCCTGAATCCAGAATGCCAGGCTTGCCGGAGGGGTCACAGGAGTCAGCTGTGGGCAGTCACAGGCACGCCGAGGACGGGCTGCGAACCCAGTGTGGGGAAATGGATCCAGGAAAGTTTCCTCAAGGAGGTAAGCGTCAGACCACAGGCTAAAGGATGTGCGACTCTCTTTATGTGAAGAAATGGGAAAAAGCGTTCCAAAGAGAGACTAACTGAAGCCAAGACACAGAGCCAAAGAACTTAAAGTGGAAGAAGGATGTTCTGGTATCCATCCTTGTTAAATTGGAGAAGTGACTAAGAGAGCTTTCAGAACTGCTTTCTGAAACATCTCAACAGATGACCTCTCGGCCAGCCTGGTGACACTGTGGGCTGAGGCTCAGTGGAGCAGGCCTCTTGCAACTGTTGGTACCGTGCAATTTTCCTATAGCACTGGAAGCTTTCTCTCCTCTCTTCCCCTCCCTCCGGGCTTCTCTTCCTCTTGTCCCTTCTATTCTCCTTCATCTTACAGTTTCCCTCTTTTCCTTCCCTCCCCTTACCTAGCTTGAGGCTTGCCAAGTGCATTCCAGGGGCTGGAATGTTGCTCATTATCTCTGCCCAGAGTTGGAGAAGAGTGTCAAACACCATACAGTGATAAACCCACCTTCCAGTGACTCCCTGACCTCTAGTCCCAATGGTGGCCTGGGTGAGTCAACCACCAGCTCTCCACCCAACATGGCAGAACTAAAGGTGTTTCAAAACAGGGCATGACTTTCCTTAGGGTGTAAACAATTGCCATCTTGAAAGTAAATGCGTAAGGCAAGAATCTACCAATTAATTCTTTTGCAAAAACATCAATTAACTATTTCACAAAAAAGAACACTTATGTACTTGAGTTTTTTAAATGCAAAATCTTACATGAAGCTGTATTCATATACAAAGCTAACTAGCGTGAACTTTCTTCCATTAATATGAAAACGTTTCGCCAGGAAAATTGAATTTAGATAACTACCGCAACCCAAAATCAATCCCAATTGCTATGACTGATATTTTAAAATCATCTCTAAACTTCTCTTTCCACTGGGTAACAACAAATATTGGGTACTGCCCTCTATTTAGACTGTGTTTTGATACTGTGTTTTCAATAATGAGAGACAATATGATCAAAGGATACACAGAAGAGGAAAGAACAAACAATTGTATTCATAGGATGGGTCCCACCAAGTAGGAACTAAGAAAACCACACGTAAATTTTTCCTTTGTTAGTAAGTCTTTGTTGTGTATTTGACACTTGAGCTAGAAATTAAGGCTGATGTGTTAAAATTTTTTCTATTTCCATATATATTTGCCACTTGAGATATACTGAATGTTTAACTCCAGGGAACAAAAGATGAGGAAACACTTACACATAAAGATTTTATTGTTCCCACTGGAAATGATTAAGAAGGCACATTCTTTTTTTTCTTTAAGAAATGGGGTCTCGCTATGTTGCCCAGGCTGACCTCTAACTCATTCCTGGGCT